AAAAGAAAATTATCTTTGTCAACTTCATATTTATTTCAGCAATCATTTTATGCTTTGTCAGCCACTGTTTATAAGACCTTTCTCTTCAAAACACACACACACTAATTCTTAAGCAACAAAGTTCTGTTTCACTTTCATGGCCTAGGTAACCGGGTACATTCTCTGAGAAGCATTCACCCACTTCTTTGCTTTTCTCTCCCATGCTCTGAGCTGGTATTAATAGTTGTTCACTGTCGTTTAAACTACATCCTCTCCAAAGGCAGGGATCCTTGCCTCCTGGCTTGCATGGCCCAGTGCCTGGCTCACATGAGCTTAATTATGTTAAATCGATGACAATTTGAAAAATAAAGGCAAAAAGAATATGAGAAAGATTTTTACCTTGGGTCTAGACTGAAGAGCCCTCAGCTCTGGGTAACTTTGTTATATAATCACATCAGAAGTTTTTCAAGACACTATTTGCCATTCCATTGCCTCTGTGCCCTGCATGTTCCACATAAAACTGCCATTTTATTACCACTTCCGCCCACTCCAGAAACCCGCAGCACATCTCAATGAGCAATTCTTCCCATTTGCAAAGATATAAAGTGCCTCTCTCTGCTTTCTCATTCAATGAATATTTATTAAGCAACTATTATGTTCAAGGAACAATCGCTTTTGGCAGCCCTCTTGAGCTCCACTACTGGGGATAAATAAAGGCATTATTATAAAAGTGCACCCCGACACTGAATAATGACAGATGAGGGTACATACAGCTTTACCCCTGCAACTCGTGCTTTCAAAATCATTACATCTTGTCCCAGGTTTCTTTGAGCCTTTTAATCTTTTATAACTTAATCTGCCTGCATGATACAAGCCATCTAGAAACAGCCTTTAAAATAAAGCTATTAAAGTTTAGGAAAACTTTGCTGTTCCAGATCACCCCTATGTCTAATAAGAAGTGACCACGCTGCGTGAGAAGTAAAGGGTAGCCTCAGAGCAGCAGAGCTGAAGTCCTTCTCTCCTGTAATAACATGCATCACTCTTCCTTATAAATTGAAATGCATAAAAACAGAAATTTGGTTTCTAACACAATAGAGAAGATAACTAAGTTGGTTCTATGTGCATAACAGGGCGGGGGTGAGATGAGAAAGCGGAGAGCCTGGGGACCCGCAGAGGAAGGAGCCCTCCTCCAAAGAAACTTAGGAAGATGTGTTGTTATGGGGGAGAAGTATAAAAAGGGGGAGGGCAAGAGGAAGATACTATAGTGGTCTCAACTGAAGTAAAGGCTGTCTAATACCTCTTAATTTTGCAATCCACAGGTCACAAAAGCAATTCCAACACTGGCAAAGAAAAGAACTGAATTGCACTGGATTGAGAAGGGCAACAAAGCGGAGGGGAGCATGTAAGCCTTTGGGAATTTTATTTCAAAGGAAGAGCAAGAGGGGGTAGTACCGAGAAAGAGGTCCTAGAGTATAAAGGGAATCTTTTCAAAACAGCAGAGCTGCAAATGTGTATCTAGACTTGGGAAAAGAGCCAGTGAACAGGAGAGACTCAGAAAACAGGCTAGGGAAGAAATAATTGTTGGAGTAGGGACAAGAGAGGGGATCGGATTCAGAACTTAGGTGAAGGAATTAGCTTTCCATACGAGAGGAACACTTCTTCCATAAAACTTCAAGGAAGGAAATGATGTTGGTCAGTAGGGAAGACAGGAAGTGGAGGGGTTTCTCAAGTGGGTATCTCCGGTTTTCTCAGTGTGACAAGTAGACAGTGGGGTCAAGGCATTGAGAACAATGGTGAATGTTTAATATGATATCCAGGGAGATGGGAGACAGCTGCTTAAGGACCTAGAAGCCACAGAGGTAAGCTCAGTACAAAGCTACAAGCTCAATATTATACCAGCAAGTGAGTGACTAAAATAATGGATTGTGGGTCTGTCCTCCCCTGGGAGGAATGTGAGGGCAGAAGCAGGTTGATAGATAGGAGGAAATGATCATGGCACCCACAGTCTACATGATGGCAAAGAACAGGATTTGGGGCGACAAAAATGAGAGACCTGCAGCTTTCTCCCTTTCTTCACCATCATGGTTTGTATAATTAACTCAGTTTCTCACTACATATCAAGTAACTTCACTACAGTTTCTTACTACAGAATCAAGTAATTTCTGGCCAAGAAACAGAAGCAAAAGTGTCACATTCCCCAGTGGATTTGAATGAAAACAGGCACAGCTCCAAGAGGAGACATTGGAGACCAAGCTGGGTCTATGAGGAATTGCACACGAGTTGGCACACGCAGTTATGCTGTATCAAGGTCACTATCATCTTACACAGCAGGCTGGAAATGTTGCTACTATCTGGACAGTCAAGCACATTTCATGTAATTTTCTCTTTGCTTATATGACCTGCACTAATAAGCTGGTTCAGTAATAAATACGTGAGACATTTTGTTTGAAAAAAGGAAAAGTGAGAGACCTGGAAAGAAAAGAAAGTGATCAGAAAGTAGGTATTAGAACCGAAGACGTCAGAGAAGGAGAGGCTCTGAGTGCTGAAGTCCACGTTGAGGTGATGATCTATGGTTGCCTGAAAGGAAGCTCACTAAAGTTTGAGAGATCAAAAAAGTATGAAAGTCAATTGCAAAGATGTGGAAACAGCCCAAATGTCCACCAATACATGAATGGATTAATAAAATGTGGTATATGCATGCTATGGAGTACTACTCAGCTATTTTTAAAACAGCAATCTAGGCTCGGTGCCCGAAGCACAGTGGTTACAGTGCCAGCCACATACACCAAGGTTGGCAAATTCTATCTAACCCAGCCTGGGCCAGCTAAACAACAATGACAACTGCAACAAAAAATAGCCAGGCATTGTGGTGGGCACCTATAGTCCCAGCTTCTTGGGAGGCTGAGGCAAGAGAATCACT